ATGAGGGATACAGGATACAGGGGCTAAGAATATATCTCTGCTTTAGAACTTTGGAACACGTGTATTTATATTATAAGCGTACAGGACGAAGTAGCGTGAATAACTGAATAACTAGAGAGACTCACACAAGAGCACAATCAAGAGACACGGTCGTGTCTCGCGCCAAGTTCACGCGTCACGCGGAACGCGCAAGAGGCCGACCGTGTATATTTACGCGAACACATGAGCTGACAGGAGCCAAGATTTTCATATCTCGATAACGCGTAGACCGATCAAATTTATAATAGGCTCAATCGATAGAGCACATGCGATTTACATAATAAAAGTATTTTTATTTTTTTTGTACACGCCTTTAAAAAAATATATTAATTGCCAAAGTTCAAATGTATTGAAATATGTCGAAATCTATGAAGACAAAGATTCAATCTTGGTCGTCTGTTCGTCATCCTTCTTTAATGTTAAGTTTGTCCTTTGTCAACTAGAAGCATCAAAATGCGACATGGTTGTCCTTTTCTACATCCCGTGAAATGTCGATTCCCGTATAAGAGCGTCTTTTTTCTTTCCTTTCTTTTTCTAAAAGACGTCTGTTCTTTTCCAACATGGCGGCGCTCAGACCTGTCAGCTCGCAGCTTTGATGATACTAATCACATTGATATAATTAATATCGGTCGTAAAATGTATACATAACGTGTTGTGGAGACGAATAGAGATAGTGTATATCATCAAAATAATAGTATGCTTTATAAAAAAAATTTTTCTCGTGAAGTGCAGAAGTGTAGCAAGACACATGTTGACGACACTCTTAGGCCGGTATTTAAGATCGTCTTAAGTCGTCGTCATCGTCGTCTTAAGATATACTAATTTGGCTTTTTGATTTTAAGACAATACTTAAAGACAATCTTAAATAAAAGAAACGACTATGAATACTGGCCTTTAGTATTCTGTGGTTAGTGGATAGAAAATGTACTTTGTGCACATTGGTGGAATCGGCAGGTATGTAATGTTTATAGATTATAGTATTGTATACAGGTATGTAATGTTTATAGATTATAGTATTGTATACAGGTATGTAATGTTTATAGATTATAGCAGAGAGAAACCTGAGAGAGACCACGCTGCCGTTTTCCGTACGACGCTTTCTCTAGGCCGTACGCTAGTGACGCACGTCTATTTTCGGCCGGCTTAGGAACTAAATAGCCACGTCCATTTTCCATGCCAATAAAAAAGTCACGTCCATTTTCAGTGTCGATGAAAGAGCTGCATCCATTTTCGATGTCGGTAAAAAAATAACATCTACTTTCAATGCCGATAAAAAAGTTGATTGTATCCGTGCTACAACCACAATTTATTAAACAGAAATACATTCCGCATATAGATATGTGTGTTATATACTTTGTTAGCAGTGATTTTTTTATTGAAGCATAATAATATACGTCTTATAATTATTTGTTATTAATAAAAAAATTTTATGATGTATATATATATATATAAGATCTTTTTATAATACAAAATATATAAATAAATTATATACCTATATAACAATACATTAAATTTTATTTGATTAAACAAAATTTTATGTATGTAAAATACATATTTTTATGCTATCACATGCGTCAACGGAACTCGCAGAAAATAAGTAAAACAACACAACACTTTATAAGAGAGAACACTTTAATTATGAACACTCAACATTCAACAAATAATAACCGGAAATATAATTCAATATATCAGAGCTGTCATAAACGTCCGCTCGAGCAGACAGCTACCGAAGATCTGACATATGACA